ATCAGTTAGCAGGTGATGAGGAAGACCTGCCTCTGGCTGGGGCTCCGGAGAGCTGCTACCCTCAAGAGCACCACTGTGACAGGCGGACCAGTTTACTATGTGTGTTGCAAACCTCCCTCCCTCTGGCCTGGCTTAGGCAGAGGTGTAATATGAAGCTACAGGTGTGACGCTAAGAGTGTGCCTGCTCTTGCCATGTGCAGAAGTCTGGCTGATCCATTAGATGGCTTTGAGTCTCTCTCTCTTTCCATGTGTGTGTGTAAATGTTGCAATTGAGATAGGCTGGGCAGAGGTATGGGGGAAATGTCACCAGCTGCAAAAAACAAAAAAACCAGAGATGTTTTTCTGTTCTTGTGGTTACCATACAGAGTTAGGCAATATTTCATTTCCCAGCAGAAGTGCTTGACGCCTCTTATGCCTAGTAAGTGTCAACACCACAAGAGGAGAGCGTATGTCAGGAATCCTGAGCAAACCCAAGTGGTTAAATTTCTTTCCCCCTCTTCTTAAGGTTAATTGATTTTAGACTTTCACAGAGGCCGGGGTTAGCAGGGTTAGGGAGGAGGAGATCTGCTAGGTGGGAACTACAAGATTGTGAGTGGCACGTTCTCAGTTCTGAAGGGCCCTGCAGTTGTGTTCTGGGAAGAAGCTCTGCCAAACAGTCACATCTGCTATTCCAAGCGCAATAGGGTCAAGTTTCCCTGAACCCACCACACTACTGAAATGAGCAGGGAGCTCTGCAAGAACTTGGTGGAGCTTGCTCAAGGAAGATTGTGGTCAGAACTGGAGGGCTTCTTTCCTCCAGAAACAGACAGAGTGACATCCGGATCATCTTCTAGGACAGCTAGAAAGATGCAGCTTGGCACAGGTTGCTTTGCAGATGAAAAAAAAGCCAAATGCCACCCAAGAGAAATAGACCCGACAGATCTTTTAACTCACACACGAAAACAAAGATCACCACAGCCAATCACAAGCAAACAATCACACCCTAGGCCAACCCCAACCTCTCTCACCACCAAAGGAACACAAGTGAACAACACAAGCAATGCTGACACCAAACTCTACATACATTAAACATAATAGAAACACCGCCACCCGACCCCACCCCACCCCTATCCATCTTCCCTCTCTCCACCCCCCCTTTCTTTTTTCTTTTTTCTTTTTCTTCTCCCCTAATACCTCAACAAATGAAACGGATTTGTAAAAATGTTACATGAAAAAAAAAATACGAGGCACTACACTTCTGTAAAACAAGAAAATCCTTAATAAAATATTTTTTTTAAAAAATAATAATAATGAGCACAGAATCCAGAGTGGGGATCCTATTTTTAAAAAATAAAAAATAAAAAATTATTACATTTAAATCCTGCCTTTCCTCCAAGAAGTTCAAGGAAGAATGTGTAAATGGACCGTGGTCTTCTCCCCACAACCACCACTCTCACAACATACTTGTGAGGTAGATCAGGCTGAAAGAATGTGAGTGGTCCTTGGGACTTCACCGTGGCCAACACTATAACCTCCATACCACACTGGCTATGACTAAATGCAAATCATACTCTTCAGCATGCCATATGAGAGAACTGGCCTGACCACGAATACCCCTTCCTGCCCTAATATTGCAGTTTCTGAAGTTTCTCCCATCTGCCGAATGCTCTGCACTGCTAGAACAGTCAAAGTGGTGTTTTCTTCTGTAGATCAAAGATATACTATGGAAAAAAATAACTGCCCTACAGTCTGTTATCAGTCGTCCAAAATGACCTTGGGAAGCATGCGAAATGACAGACTCTGCATTGCATTTCAGCATTCATGCCTGTACTTGTTGCATGTAGGCTCATTTCAGGTGAGATGCACCCGTCCTCTCAACTCAACTGAACTATTCTAAAATCCGCAGACTTTTTGCAGAGGGAGAGGCTAAACCTTGAGGAACGCAGATCTGGCAATTCCAACCATTTAACAAGAGGGCATCTCTAAAACTTGGAACTCTGATTTAGCAGGGATAAAGGGCAAAAAACAGGAGTTGCCCTTGGGTTGGAGCTAGTGCAATATTGTAGTCGCTTTGCTGTTTCCCCCTTAAAGGTCATCACATGTCTCAAAGTTAGCCATGGCCTGAGGGGGTGACTTCCAGGTCTGCATGCTAGAGCGCTTTTATGGCCTGACAGCACCGGCTGCAGTATAGAGGAGAATCATAGAGGTGGAAGGGACCATGAGGGTCATCTAGTCCAACCCCCTACAATGTAAGAATATTTTGTCCAACATCGGGTTTGAACCCATGACCCTAAGATTAAAAGTCTCATGCTCTACCAACTGAGCCATCCCAGCTTCAGCACAGTGGTGGCCCCATGTGCCTTCTGAAGTCTTCAGAATATCCCTGTCTCTTAGGCAGCGCACTGGCTCTTCCTGGCCTGCTGTTCAGGTTCAGCCTTGCCTAGAATTGGGGCCTGTGGTCTCCTTGGAGGAGGAGCAAGAAGAGCAGTTTTCCAAGCTGCCAGTGACCCTGAAGAGTTGTTGGATCAAGGTGTCCCTTCCCCAGGGCTGGAGGTTTTTGGGTGGCCTGCCTAGGTTAGGCCTGCCTAACTGCTTAGGTTTTTGGGTGGCTTTCAGACCTACCCATCCGCATTTCCCACAGGGCCACAGGAGCAGAAGAGACAGCCAGGGCTGTTGCTGAACTGCGCACGACGTTACTCAGGAGGAGGGGAAAGCAAAATAATCCTGCCGCCTTCTCCTGTCTTCCTGTTTCTTCTGCACACTGCAGGAAAGGTTCCCCAAGCCCTGGGAAGGAATCCTGAGTGGGGGAGAGTATCCCACCAGCAGCTCCTGCTTCACTGGACGTCTGTGCTTCCACTCATTTATTCATTCTTTCCCTGACCACTTGACTAAGTTATGCTTCTTCTTCAGTTTTCTATGAGATTCTCTGGGCTAATTGTCCCTGCTCAGAACTGTGCTGCAGGCACCTTTGACTAGGCAATTAATTAACAGGTTAAAGTGCACTTGCCACCCCACCCACCGCCAAGCTCTGCCCGCAGGTGAGCTGCGAAATTCACCTCCATTCTCCCATTCTGCAAGTCAATTATTCCTACCTCTTTTCCCATTTAGCCACTCACTGACCCATGAAAGGTGAAAAGCGCCCGTTCTTATCAGCTCCACTTGCCAGAGAGCCATTGATTGGCAAGCGACTGGGACAAGGCATGTCTCAGCATAATGAGCCATCTTTGTCCTTGAGCAGTTTAGGCAGCCCCTGACCCCAGAGCCACCCACGCGTCCAAACAAGCGGGGGGGGGGAGAGACTTTTGTAGCCCAGGGGCCACTTTATCTTCTAGGGGCCACATGCTGGTGGTGCATGAGGGTCAGAGGCAAAACTGTACTTTTGTACCTTGGGGTACACTATATCCACCACACTTTCCAGCCAAGCAAAACCGCATGGAATGTGAAGTGTGGGCAGCCAGGGCATGACTGGTTGAGATGGGGGGGGTGGCCTGAGGGTCAAAACTGACATCTCCCCCCCCCCCGAATATGGTTCCTATCATTCCTACAGCTGCACCCCTCCTTCCAGTGACCTGGGTGTACAGGGAACACCCTGTGGAGATAGAATGATGCTATAAATGGCGGGGAATCATTCTTAATGCCAGGGGCTTTCCTCCCACTCTGAGCCTCAGGGAGTTTTGGCAGGCGCAACTTGTTGTGGCATGGGGCGAGGGGGCAGGGCTGAGAAACCTATCCAAAAGTCCCTCCACTGCGCAGGTACTGGAAGTGGAGGAGGCCTGCGTTCTGTTGTATCAGCTCACCCTCCAGCCTGCAGAGCCAGCTGTTCAGGGGAGACTGGAGACTGGGGGCAGGACTATTGTGGATAAAGTGGCTTTAGCAGAGCTTCTCAAGGAAAGAAGCTTCAGTTGTGCTTTTCCATAGAGATCCAGTTGTGGGGGCCCCACAAGCCTCAGGAAGGCCAGAGGCTAAGTCATTAAAGCCTCCAGATTTGCAGTGCAAGACAGCTGCATGCGGGCTGTGTTTGAATGAGGAGTGAGCCCTGTGTGCAACTGGGTAGGGGAACCGTAGCCCTTTTAAGTACTGTGTTTTCAGCTGCAGCTGCTGCTGTCCTTAGGTGACCCTGCTGCTGAGTAGCTCCTCCATACTCCATGGAGCTATTAATACTCACACAAGGGGGAGGGCTTGCTCGCTGCTAAGCACGCGATGGGCGCTCCCCACTCAGCTTCAGGACACAGAGAGCTATCACTTGCCGGAAAACCCAACCCTAAGCAGCCCTTTTCTGAGCCAGCCTTCCACTGCACAGAACTGGCTGTCAGAAAAGGCTTGAGAATTAAATCGCCCCACACTGCCCGCTTAGGAATCCTGAGAGGGGGACAAACCTGTGTGGTTGTGAGATTAATTCTTAGGCTGTAAGGTGAAACAGTGCCTTCTTAAATGCCTAAGCAATAGGGAGCAAATCTCAGGGATGGTTTGAAATAGGCTCAGAGGAGGGGGAAACCCTGAGATGTACAGTGGTACCTCTGGTTACAAACTTAATTCGTTCCGGAGGTCCGTTCTTAACCTGAAACTGTTCTTAGCCTGAGGTACCACTTTAGCTAATGGGGCCTCCTGCTGCCACCGCACGATTTCTGTTCTCATCCTGGGGCAAAGTTCTTAACCTGAGGTACTACTTCCAGGTTAGCAGAGTCTGTAACCCGCAGTGTTTGTAACCCGAGGTACCACTGTACTGCTCCAGGCAAAGGTGTGTGGATGACTCCGGTTTAGAAGTGGCCCAGTGAGAGCCAGTTACAGCTCTGGTGGAACCCTGCAGTTTACCAGGCTGTTTTTATCCAGGCTGTCAACTCAACCAGTGGGGCCTGGTGACAGCAGAAAAATGTTTCCTAGGCTCAAAGCTTGTGAGGACAAAAGGAAAGGATTACCCCAGTCATTGTTCAGCCTGAAGGAGTGGGAGGGAGGGGAAGGTGAGAGCTGGGAAGAAATCCAGACTATCATGTGAGTACAAATCTCGGCCACCATTCCTAAGGGAAGGGCCATAGTTCTGTGGCAGAGTATCTGCTCTGCATGCAGAAGGTCCTGGGTTCAATCCCCAGCATCTTCAGGTAGGAGTGAGAATGTCCCCTGTCTGAAAGAACCACTGCCAACCAGTGTAGACAGCTCTGAGCTAGATGGGCCTATGGTCTGACCTAGTATAATGCAGCTCTCCCCTTGAGTGCCTTCACATGCACTGTGGCAGTGGCTCTGAAGCTCTTGCTTGGCTCCCTGGATTGTCTGCTTCTGTGGCCCTGGGGGTGGGGATGGAGGGGAGTTGAGAGCTGGCCAGGAATCTAGCGTCAGTGATAAGGTGGAGATGTGCTGGAGACTTTTGCTCCCTTTGCTCCTCCTCCTCTGAAACCTTGGTTTTGAGGGCTGGGCAGGGCAGAACCCAGAGAGCAGTCAAGCATCTGCTTTACAAGCATCTCCAAGTGGAAAAAAGAATCAGGTAGCAGCAGATGATGCTGAAGGCCCTTCTCTGGATGAGCCTTTAGAGAACCTTGACAATGCTGGGCTGGGTGGGTGTCAGCAAAACAAGTCTCACCTGGTCTAGGACAGCTTCCTGTGCTCTTAAACACTGAATTACAAAGTGTGTGTGTGCGTGTGTTTGTTTAGAAAAGGGAAACTATTATGGCTGGATCACTAGGACACCTGCTTCACAAGCCAGTACTGGACAGATTATTACAGAGTAAACAAAATCTACCAGAGAGGAAGAAGGTGCAGCCTTGGTGTGTTTGTGTGTGAAAATAAGTGCTCTGAGGGTACAGGACTGTCCTAAGTTGGAGGGGATGGGGCTGCTGTTGGGGCACTGGAGAATGTGCTTCCAGTGGCTTCACCCATCCCCATTTGGAGGCAGGCAGCGCATTCAGCACCAGCTGACCATTGCATGTGCATAATGGGATTTCTCGCAGGTGTGATGCTGCTATCATGGACTATCTATCACAGATCCCTCCTCCCTCATCACCTTAGCCAATTATCTAACTGTGAGAGTCATGCTGGAAGGTGATCTAAGCCTATCATGAGCTTCCCGTGGCTTAAGCAGATGGTGTGAATGTACCTGGAGGCAGCTCAGCCTTGGCTTTCTTGTATTGTGGTGAGCCTTAGCATGGACAATTCATGCCCACTTTGTTCTTTGAGCTGGCAAGGTCTGGGGAAGTAAAACCACTCCAACAAGGAGGGGGCAACATGGCCCTGCCTCCCCCCTTTAAATAAAAAAAGTTTTAGCACAAATTGTAAGCAGACACAAGAGGCAATGCTTGTCCAGAGCCTTTGAAACAAAAGCCTGCTTGCCTGGTATGATCGTCTGTGCAGAGTTTGGAAAGTCCGCAGTTCAAAGCTCACCTTTGCCTTGAACTCACTAAGGCCAGGGACTTAGGCGAGTTGGAAAACTGTGTGACTGAGGCAGTCATACCTGCATATTTTTTTCTGTTAAAAATGTACTTAGCATTTATATAGCACTTCAGAATATTCAGGAAGAGACCATAGCTCAGTGGTCAGAGCGCAATGAGGAAGGTCCTCAGCAATCCGTTGCAATCTATTCAAAATAGATCAGACAGGAACTGATGGGAAAGATCCCAGGCTGAGACCTAGAGAGCTGCTGCCAGTCAAAGTAGGCAATATAGGACTAGATGGACAAATAGTCTGAATTGCTATGAGGCAGCTTTCTCTTTAAATACATCTTACACACGATTAACTTGCACGATTCCAACCTTACATGGTTGAAAACTGGCTGGCTGGCTGAAATCCTGCAAATTAACTGCATGCAAAGTAGAGAACTGAAAGGCTCCTCACATGGAAAGAGCTTGTAAGCCCTCCAACTTGCTTACCGGGCTCTGAGAGGCTCTCGCAGGAACTCAGATGGTCCCCTGAGGAGCTTAAAAGCTCTCTGCCTTGCAAGGGGTGTCAGGTTAGACTCATTCAGCACACCGAATGTAAGATTGCTCACATGGGACCAGTTCAGGTATACACATTTTTTCAAATATGAAATGTAAGCCCTGCACAAGACATGACCGTACTGTATTTACATGGATAGTGTCATTATGCAGTTTAGTCACTAGGAGACACTGGTCTTAGCAGAGTCTGGCTAGAGTCAGGAACTTCCCATGTCTGTCTTTTTCTTGTTCAAGAGAGAACTTGTTCAATGAATTTCTCATCTAGCTACTGACTGGTGTGTCCTCTGAGCCTTACATCATAGCCTTCCGCGACACATGTGCCCATGTGAGCATTCCATGCGGCTTCTTTAAAATGATTTTCAAAGTTTATTTCCTTGAAATATTTCTACCCCAACTTCCAACAATCCAGCATTCAAGGTGGCTAATATCACCTTTAAAGTGTTTTGTTTGAATGGTGTTTGTTATCTAATGAACCTTCTATCTTGTTTGTGAAGGGTTGCAGTTTTCCTGGGAAGCAAACGGTCAGCATTGCACATTGGGCCCAGCTAGTGAATGTCACCCCCTGTGCTCTTTTCCTCAAGGATGGGGTGTTCATTGACCCTGCTCCCCCAAATATTTCTCTTCTTGATCTGCTCCTCCACAACAGCACAGGTCACGCTCATACTGGGCACCAGCATAATCTCAGATCAGCAGCTGCCAGAGAGCGCCTGACGTTCCTTTAACTTAACACCCATCCCTTTCTTCCTAGGTTGGCAGAGCAGTACTAATGTGTAAGGTGCATGAGTCACTAAGAGCTAGAGTGAACTGGGAGTGTTGTTCATCTTGAGCTTAACTTTCTGGGGTGGGAGTAATTATAAAAATGTTGTTGTTTAAATCAGTGCTGCTGATATAGAGAGCAGACCCCATTTTCCATCAGGGCTTTCATCCCCATCCACACACTTTCCCTTCTGTCTCCTGACATTCTCGGTGTGCAGCAAATCAGTCTGTGGTAGCAACAGTTTATGTTAACAGGGCAGAAGTAATCTTCTAAGTGCAGCGACGCCTTCGGCCCACTGAACTCCCAGCGTCAAAGTAGGAACCTCAAGCGTGCATTCATAATGTGCTGCCCTTTGCACTTGGCAGACGTGAGTCAGTTTGCAAAAGGCTTTATGAACCCCTAGAGACCTTAGTGCCATGATATTCTTCCAAAGTGTCTACCAGCAAATTCCCTGTGTGTTATAAACAAGGGCTTTCTGTCAGGACCTGTTAAAGGATCATGCAAACAAGGGGCCCCAGTCTTTCTAACAGAACTTGATCAGCCCCAGGGAAAAGGGAGGGGTCAGCACTGCAGCCTCACAGCCGAGAACTAAAGCAGGAGAGGATCAAGCAGATGGGAAGTGGGAGGAGACAGTGAAATCCATCCTTTAGGGGAGAAATAAGTACCATGGCCACACACAGACAAATGAGGATGTCATGGTGGAGGGAAGGTTATGGCACATGTGGGTTTCCAGGGTATGTGGGGTGGATCTTTGCTTAGTAAGATGTACAAACATGCCTTTGACCTTTATATGACTTTGCGATCTGACCCCTGCATAATCATAATGCTTGTGTCTTCTTAAAACAGATGCCTTACACACATTTTGTTACTCATTCTAACAAGGTCCTGTAAGCCAGGCTCATTATTACAAGTTCCAACTCTACAATTCTGTGATAAGGATGTTGCCCAGGAAGACAAGGCAGGAACATACTCAGCTAGTGTTGAGATCCTGGGCTCAATTAAAGGCTTCAGTGTTGATTTTACAGTCTGCATATCTCAGAAAACATTTCTTCCTGCCCTGGAGACAAGTGAGAGCATCACTGAGCACAAGCAGAGCTTTCATGGTGGCTGTCCCAGAATCTGGAATGGTCTGTCAGAGGCTGTCTGGTTATTGTCTTTCCCTCTTGGTTTCTTAGGAAGCACATATTTCCAGTTTGTCTTAGGGAACCTCTTGCCACTAGACATTTTTGTGTGTGTCTCTTTTACTTATTCATATTTTTGCCAGATACTTGATGTGATTTCTTCTTCTATGATTAGCTATTTCAAACATTAGGAGTAGAGGTGAGCTGAAATTTCTCAGAAGACATTTCTCACTATTTATTTATTTATTTATTTAGGCCAGCCATTATTCCTCCACCACCACCAGCTCCAAAATCATGTCCTATGATGCCGGTGGCTCTAGGGCATTGTGAGGGATGCAAAATGGTGTCCACCAGGCTGCTAGCAGAGTTGCTCCTGCCTTTTGCCACTGCTGATGAGTCCCACCCCTGATGAGCCGCTGAAGAATTTGTCAGTTTTGAAAAATGCCACGTTTGTGGTACACACACACACACACACACACACACACACCGACTGAATTTTACAGTTTAGTCTGTCATGGGGCAAGCTCATTGTGAAATGTCCTCTTTTTAAATGGTCTAATTCTGTTAGTGTCTTCCAGAAAAAGCTTTGTTGTGCTGAGTTGGGTGCATATAGACAGGTGATGCTGATTGTATGGCTGCCTTTGACACCACAAACAAAGAGGGATCTGCCTGCTGGGTCTGCCAAAGTTTCCTCAATACTCAGAGGGCAGCGCTTGCTTATCAGGACAGCCGGGGGGGCAGACAGGAAGATGCCCCCCCCCCCAGATCAAGTAAAACAATAGAAATACTTAAGTAACTGACCAATCATGTCGGTTCTGCCCTGCCTGCAAAAAAAATCCTGGCTACACCCATGGCTACACCTGTCTTTCCCAGAGCCAGGGGCTTGGAGTTGCTTGGCTATTCAGCATCCTTTCAGTGTGGCAGCCCTCTGGTTCCTGCGTTGATGAGTCTCCTGCAGGAAAACAATGTCTGGATGGTCCCTCTGCTGGGTTGCCTCCACTCCACTCTGATTGGTAATCGTAGCCCTCTAATGTTGGAGAGAAGCTTTATAGTTTGGCTTTGAGGAATCATAGTAATGTTGGGAGAGATATGGATAGGAGAGAGTTAATACTTAGGTAAGCAGCTCCTGTTCTATTAAAGATGGTGTTTTCCAAGAAACTAATTTTTTTTCTGCTAGACTTCTAACTTGAAAATCAAACAACACACTGAAAACAATGTGCAAAAATCCTAGGGCGGGCTTCCCTGCTTGTCAGCAAGACCATGGAAGTGGTGGAGATCCCTCCAATGGAACCTAGGA